GTCAGTGCGACTACACCGGCCTCTACTACTGCAGCAGCTGCCACTGGAATGACCTGGCCGTCGTGCCCGCCCGCGCCATCCACAACTGGGACTTCGAGCCCCGCAAGGTGCCCGGGCGCGGGGCGGGGGCCTGGGGGTGCCCGGGAGGGGCCGTGGCCCCGGTCACGGGGGTCTCTGGGGGCCATGGCCCTGGCTGGGGGTCACTTAGGGGGCTGTGTTCCTGGTGACGGGGTCCCCGGGGCCGTGGCGGTGGGGATGTCCCTGTGCCCGTGGGGTGACGGCGGCTCTGGCCACGGGCGGAGCAGGTGTCGCGCTGCAGCATGAGATACCTGGCGCTGATGGTGTCGCGGCCCGTGCTGAAGCTGCGGGAGATCAACCCACTGCTCTTCAACTACGTGGAGGAGCTGGTGGAGATCCGGGTGAGTGGGGCGGGAGCGCGGGGGGAGAGGGGGACCCCGGCGGCACCCGCTGGGTCCCACAAAGGGGGAGCGGGGCAGGGGTGGGGGCAGAGGGTGCCCAAACCACGATGGGGCTGAACTTGACCCAGCCTGACCTTGTCCCCGTCACATCCCTGTCTCCATCCTGTCCCCACCCCATTTCTGTCCCTGTCCCCATCCTCATCCTGCCCATTCCCGCACCGCACCCATCTCATCCCTGTCCCTGTCCCCACCCTGCCCCTGCCCTTTTCCCTGTCTCGGTCCCATTCCCATCCCATTCCCACCCCATCCGTCCCGTCGCCCCGCAGAAGCTGCGCCAGGACATCCTGCTGATGAAGCCCTACTTCATCACCTGCAAGGAGGCGATGGAGGCGCGGCTGCTGCTGCAGGTCGGGCCCTGCGCGGGCGGGCGGCCGAGCTGGGGGCACCCCGGCATCGCGGCGGTGCCGGATGCGACGGTGCCGGGCACGGTGGTGACGGGCTCTCTGCCTGCAGCTGCAGGACCGGCAGCACTTTGTGGAGAACGACGAGATGTACTCGCTGCAGGACCTGATCGACATCGAGGCCGGGCGCCTGAGCTGCTCATTGACGGAGATCCACACCCTCTTCGCCAAGCACATCAAGCTGGACTGCGAGGTGAGCCGGCGCCACGCGGCAGCCTCGGCCGCGACCCATGGCACAGCTCGTGCCGGGGGGACGCGGAGGGTCCCCACCGGGCGCCATCAGGACCCTCTGCCCGCTCCCTCCCCAGCGCTGCCAGGCGAAAGGCTTCGTCTGCGAGCTCTGCAAGGAGGGCGACGTCCTCTTCCCCTTCGACAGCCACACCTCCGTCTGCACCGACTGCTCCGCCGTCTTCCACAGGTACAGCGCGCGCCGGGGAACGGCCGCCCTCCCGCCACCGGGCCCGGCGATGTGGCAGCGGGGTGGTGGTGGGGACACAGGGGCGGCGCTGGGGCCAGTGCCGTGGGGTGCTCCGGTGCCATGGGGTGCCCTGGTGCCGTGGGGTGACCGGACGCCATCCCCTCCCCGCAGGGACTGCTACTACGACAACTCCACCACCTGCCCCAAGTGCGCCCGGCTGAGCCTGCGCAAGCAATCCCTCTTCCAGGACTCCAGCACCGAGGCAGAGCCCTAAGGGGGGGCCTGGCACCCCAGCCTCTCCGTGGGAGGGAGCCGGGACCCGGTGAACGATGGGCGGCAGCTCCACCAGCCCTGCCCGCAGCCGCCACACCGGGGACTCGAGCGTGCGGGCAGGGGCGAGGTGCGGGCAGGGCAGGGCAGGGGCCCGGTGCCTGCAGCCCCCCCAACACTACTGGGATCACACTGCTGATTTGGGGGGTTCCCGGTGCCAGGGCAGAGCCCCCGGGGGCTGCGGGGGGCTGGGGGCCCCCCCTCTGGTTTATCCTGTAGCATTAACGAGGCCTCGTTAATTAACCCAGCACTCGTGTCCCTGCTTTGGCTCCATCCCTCCCTTCCCACCCGCGGCGATGGAGACGGGCAGAGCCGCAGCGGCGGTGGGTTGGTCGGTTTTACCAGAACACAACGCTGCTACATCAGAACCGGGTGGGCACCGGCACCAGCCACGCTCCCACCCTGGGCCGTCGCCCCCGTGCCAGCCCCGGGTCCCGGTCCCGGTCCCTTCCCCGCAGCCCGGTGGTGGGGGAAGCACCGGGTGACCGGCATTAACTGGCCCCGGGCCTCCCTCTGCGGGGCCGGGGGCTGCCCCTGCCCAGGGCGAGCTGCCCCCTGCCGCGGCCCCAGTCCTGTGCCCCGGTCCCCCCCGGTGGGACCGGGCTCCGAGGCTACTGGGGACGAAAAGAAGCGGCCGGCATTGGCGCGTCCCCATGTCCGTCCCGCCGGCGCGTCCTGGTGTCCATCTCCCTAGGGCTCCCGCGGCCGCTCAGCAGGCAGGAAGGCGTCCGGGGGTCCCGGCGGCAGCTCCGGGTCGCTGAGGTGCTTCTTCTCCCGACCTTGCTCCCGCGCTCGCGTCCAGGAGGGCGAGCGCAGGTACCCAGCCCGCGGCACTGCCTGCGGCTGCAGCCCTGCGGGGACAAACGGCGGCTCACAGCCTGCCAGATGGACGGACGGACGGACGGCTCGAGGACGGCCTCGCTCGCTCACCGCTGGGCGACTCTCCGGTTGCGTTCTCCTCGTCGGAGTCGGCGAAGACCTCGGCCAGCTCTTGGTCCGACATGTCGGTCAGCTCGGTCAGGTCCAGCAGGTCGAAGTGCACCTCCAGCGAGGAGACGCTGCTCAGGGGCTCTGCGGGCAGCCGGTGACAATGGGGGGGCCCGGTGGCAATGGGGAGACCCGGCAGCAATGGGGGCCAGTGGCAACGAGGGACCCGGCGGCAACGGGGGGACCCGGCGGCAGTGGGGGGACCCGGGGACAGGCTGGGGGCGGCGGGGTGGGTGCCCTGGGGGGGGCTGGTGCTCAGGGGCCCGGGGAGCCAGGAAGGACAAGGGGCTCAGTGGGGGCAGTGACCAGCTGGGGGCTGGCAGGGGATGCCAGGGACAGGCAGGGACCCCAGGGCAGGCAGGGGGTGCTGTGGACAGGCAGGGACCACCAGGGGCAGGCAGGGACCCCAGGGGTAGGCAGGAGATGCTATGGGCAGGTAAGGACCCCAGGGGCAGGCAGGGGACCCCAGGGGACGCAGGGACCTCAGGGGCAGACAGGGGATGCTAAGGGCAGGCAGGGACCCTGGGGGCAGGCAGGGGATGCCAGGGCAGGCAGGGACCCCAGGGATAGGCAGGGGAGGCTAAAGGCAGGCAGGGGATCCCAGGGGTAGGCAGGAGATGCCAGGGACAGACAGGGGACCCTGGGGGCACAGAGGGGATGCCTAGGACAGGCAGGGCTCCCAGGGGCAGGCAGGGGACCCCAGGGGACCTGGGGGGACAGGCAGGGCTGCCCGCGCAGGGCCGCACTCACGTCTGCGCTCGGTGACCTGCAGCAGGCCGGCGCTGGGGATGGGGATGCCGCCCTGCTCCTCCGCGGGGGCTCCGGGGGGCTCCGGGGCCGGCCCGTGGGCGGGGGGCCCCGCCGGCCGGCCCGGGGGGCGGCGTGGCCTG